AACTTACCTTATTAATTTGATCGATTGTGTCATCAATTCTCCAACGACTAGTTTCTTATTTAATTTTCACGATTCTCTTCTTGTTTTAGATTGTATATATGTTGTATTTCGAGCCTACATAAGCTCAATTCACTGTTCATTGTAAAGCATCATTCGTCTTGATTTATTCAATAAAAACATTAAGTTTTCTTTTACAAAATTGTCTTTTGTGCTCTTATCATTTCAAGCACTTGATGAGATTTCATTGTCTTCTATGATTGTGTTTCTAGGTTGTTTGTGAGATTCCAACAGTATGTTTTGTGTTGTTGTGGATTCAACAACAAAAACCTTCATCTCCATCTCTAGCTTCATCCATATTCCGCATGCATAGCTTGTAAACTCTTGATCATCTTGTGAACATAAGTTTGGTGGATTCCGATCTTATATTACTTTATCACTCATCGACATGTGCTGAGTTGGACCTCTATTTAACATTCTCTTTAAATGTCTACATAAGTGATGAACATCAATATTAACGTTACATACTTTCATAGAAACTCCGACCAAGATCCATTTACCGTTTCAGAATCGAAAATGTGGAAAAACGTTATGGAAACGTGTTTCTTAAAATATTTAATTTGGAACGCGACATAAAATTTAAGGATCTATTTTTATGTTTAATAAATTTAAAACCTAATTGTAAAACACTCATATTTTCTCTCTTTTCCAAATATTTGACTTTGAGTGGTGTTTTTTTTTTGTTAAATTAATTAATATTTATGTATTAAATTTGTGTTATTTCAAATATTTTTCTTTAATATGGTTATAAACTTTGATATATTTTGTTTCATGAGATATATTTTAGGGTTAATTAGCTGTATATTACTTTTAAGATTTATAATTAGGAAATGAACATATCCAAAAATATAATTAAGCAACTAGCAAAGAGAATTAAATTATGATAAAATTGCCCTTACAACTATAATTTAGGTAAATATACATAAAAATCCCTAAATATATTCTCTTGATTTAATCTCTAGAAAATTGCTCTTGCAAGTATCCTTGCCAAAAGTAGATGTGTGTTTTCACAACTGCCATAAGAAAAAAAGATTGGATCAGAAGATACAAAAAATAAATATGTCATAACAGTTAATATTTAATAACATAGTTAACTATTTTTGAAACGTCTCAGAATATAATTAACTATCTAAAATATAGTTAACTACCAATTTGGAAGTATAGTTAACAATTTGCATATTATAGTTAACTACATTACTGATTTCAAGACATAGTTGACTACATGAAAATTATTGTTATAATAGTTAGTTATTTAAACAAACATAGTTAATTAGTTCAAAACGTAATTATTAACATACATAGTTGACTATTATCAGAAACATAGTTACATATTATAATGAAAATTAACATACATAGTAAACTATTAAGAGAAACATATACTAGTTAACTATGTCGATCTTCGACGACAACTAAATTTGACCAGGAGATGAATGACGGTGGAGATATTAATGGAGGAGAAGAAAAACACCATCTTAATCCACTATAAAAGATTTTGATCCATGACAACGAGTTAACACAAAGTAATATGAATATT